TATAAACTGGTTTAAAAGTGAACGATGAATATTCATGATCTATAATTATACCTTTTCCGCTCTTGCTCAACGCTTAGACGCTCTTACGTTTTACGGCACAGAGATGACAACTCTTTTTTGGACTGAATTCAAATTTAGAGAACGTTTCTAATTGTCACTTCTTCTTTTTCTCCTCTCTTCGTACTTTATAAACAAGAAGAAAGATTAATATCGGAATCGAACGAAAAGATCGATCGAAATAACTATCGTCGTAAAATAGGTGAAAATTAAAAAAGAAACTACTGTAAAATAATTCCTATTGAAAAAATAAAAGTACACAACTATCTTTGCCAGTCACATTTCGTACACACCGAAAAGGTTAAACTCGTACATGAATCTATAGATGAAACTTATCCGCATTACCCGCGGCACGTTCGCGTCAAAAGAGTCTAGAAAGAGGGTTAAGAATCGAGAAAAAGAGAGAGAGAGAGAGAGAACAAGAGTAGAAACAAAAAGAAAAACGACGAAATAGAGAGAAAGAAAAAAATAAAAGAAACAAGCACACAGGGAGCCACGAAAAAGGTGCATCGGGGTGTCCTCGACCAATCGTTAACGCCTCCACGGCGAAGCGTGTAACGCAATGCTGTCGTGTGACAATCAAGGTGAAGGACTGCGACGAGGCCGACAAAGTCTCGGTGGCGTGCACGACCACGAAATCGGACGTGGAAGATTGCCGGAAGGGATCGACGACCGCCACGTCTGTTTGCAACGACGAGGAGAACTCCGGTACTAGACGGAAGAAGAAGAAACGTCGAAAAATTCGGAAGAAGCAACATTTACAGCTGCAACAGCTGTCGCATGACCCGTCTATCGACAGCCAGCAGCAAGTGCACACGGTGGTGAATCTACCCTCGTCCTCGGACGAAGTCGAGGCAGTCGGCGAATGTTCAAAGAGGGACTCGTCCAGCAGCCTGGGTGGCACGAGCAGGCACAACACCCTTCGCGAATCGTTGCTCACCGTGTTGGGTAAATTGGTGATCTGGAAGGGCACCAGGTATCGCTCGACCACCGCTGCGTCCTCTTCATCCTCGGCGCCGCCGAATTCGCCGCCCGCTACCGAGTGCATCGGTCGTAGCACTTCCTTCTTTTCCAGCGGTGAGTCCCTCACAATTCGAGAATTTTCCATTTTTTCGACGATGGATGTAACATGCTTTCGAACGAGATGAGATTACTTGCAGCTCTTGAGATGATTTTTGTTACGATGGAGGTTATGTTAGGTTAGATTTTTTTCTTTTTTTAGATGATTGTTATAATGGAGGTTATGTTAGATTAGATTTTTTTCTTTTTTTAGATGATTCTTATAGTGGGAGTTATGTTAGGTTAGATTTCTTTTTAGGTTAATTAAGATTTTTTTGAGTTTCAACCCTACGCAGGCAAACATTTTTTTTACACCCGGTAGACAAGATGGGTCGTTTAGATCTAGGTCTAATTTTTTTACTGTTCTAGGCTTTAGAAAAATGTGAAAAAATTCTGAGACACTTATAAAAGACTCTACTACATTATAGAATCATTCGTTAAGTCACCTTTTTCAATAAAAATGAAAATTCGTTTCGAAGAAAAAATAGAAGAGTGAAATTTCGCTTGGGCCATTAATGACCCAGATTGCACGAAACATTTCTGAAGAAATTTTGCACTAACCTTTAACACTCGGCGGGCACTTTACGAGAACGCACCGTGAAAAATTTGAAAAATTAAATGCTTATAATTGTAACGGATTGTGACCTTATTTTGTAACAATAAAATCTATATTTTCAATAAATATCATTTGTTACTCTTTTTTGCGTTTATTTCAACATTATATGTTCATTTGTTAATAAGTCTTAATATTGCTCCGAGTTGCTGGTATTTATAGCCATAAAATACACCGAGTGTTAAAGGTTAACACGTTCGCTGCCACCGACGCAGCATATGCGGTCCAGAATGCGGCCCAGCGTGCTATCGATTTTCCGGTGGCAGTGGACGTGTTGAATTAATAAGGTACAGTAAAGAAAGGAATAGGTTTTCATCTGTAAAAACGTGTGTGAAATACAATTCGGTGAAAGATAGTAGATCTACTCGATCAATTGATAATGGGTTTGAAAGAGTAAAATTAGCAAGTATCGGACAGAAAGGTAGTTCTTTTAAAAGGAATCACTTCAGTTGAAAGTTTAAATTAAGATCCACGAATTCTCTATGAAGGTGTTATAGCTAAAAGCTTATTTGATCACGATATTATCCTATAATCGGATTTGTGATTCGACGTGTTAATTTTCATTGGCGTTGTAGAGTCACCAATAATGTCGTCGTGCAGATGATTGGATTTTTAATATTCTACACTCTCGAACGAGTGTAATGTAAAATATCTCGTTGAAAATTAAAGCGTTTAACTGACGTTTAACGTGTTAATCAATTCGTAACATTTTCTGTTAAAATCGTTCCAAGGCGTTAAATCTGAATTTTGTTGCGCATTTTTAAACAACCATTTTGAGGTTATGTTAGTTCTGTGTCTTATTTGATCGGAAAATTTCGAGAATATACACATGTACGTACATATAAAACATCTCTAAATTGGAAATATAATTGAAAGGGTGATTCTGCATGGAAAAATAAGTGGAAAATGTGAAGTAACATTTTCTCGGGCGAAGTTTTGTTTTCGAGTAAATCGATGTTGGAAACACATTCGAGTACGCGTGCACTTAAACGTGGCCTGACCTACGCTTCGATTTAATGGGCATCGCTGCAGACTGCCTGTATTTCTGTTCCTGTTTATCATATTAGACAATGAAAGATCAATAATGAAACAAAAGGGTCCTTTTCGTGGAAACATTGTGCTTTATTAACGAGAAAAATTATTGAAAATATTTCCCGAGTGAAAAATTCATTATTACTAATAAATTTTACGTACCGAGTATTCTATTCTGCGAACATATTCAATGACATTTCGAACATTAATTCACTGGAAAACCGTGTTTTACACGAAGAAAAATGTTACGGTACATATTCCACCTATTTTTCTCATCCAGAATCAATCTTTTTTCTGAATTATACCGTCCATACGACGACACACCATGCAGACGTCGCGAATATAGGTTATGGAAGTATTGGAAATTCTGTTCTCCTACGTATGGCAGAGTGAAATGTACGTGTTATGTAATTGGTAGAATGAGGTCATTATTGTGACTGCGGTAAAACGTAGAGTAGAATACCGTACACTTTATGTAAATATTTTAAGCTGTATTGCCCTTTCTTTTTTCTTAGAAAATATTGAGACTTTGCCAGCATTATGATTGACATCACGAAGGAAAACACTTCGCGGTACATGTTCATATTAAAAACCTGCATTGTGAGAATATCAAATATATCATCCCTTACATTGTACACAATAAAATAGTATAAAGTATTTCTCGCTTGTCTGATAAAACAAAGTCATTGCTTTTTCGATAAAAAAAAAAAAAGAGAGAATAGTACAGAATATACACTTTGTCTAAATATTGATGTAGCGATAATGCACTAATCTAGATGCAGTTATCAATATGTCCTCAGACCTCTGACGAAGCCATGAACCATGACAAAACATTATTTTCTACAATAAATAAGCTTTACTGCTAAAAAACCTTATTAAAAAAAAAATAGAAATATATATAAATTCCAAAAATGGAAATTCTGCATTATGAAATTAGTATTTCAATCAAATAGTACTTTTTTACTACTTTCATTAGTACTTTTAGTAAAGATATTGCCCAAAGCACCTTGTAATACGCCAGAGGAAATTATTGTTTGTACAAAGGGTAGTATTAAACTCATGTCGTCGCGTTGTGAAAGCTTACATCGGTATTACAATCGAATTACGTAGGTGGTTGTACAAAGTAGGAACATTTGTACATTTTATCGTCAATTTCGACGAAACTGTTACGATAATGTATTAGCGTTAGGGGCGGGGGAGAGAAAGAAACAAAAAGAACTGTTGCACATTACTCAGTCCCAGTTGTCCCTACATAATCTTGTAATCCATTTTGTTTGGAAAATGCAATCCCGTGATTCCTGAACGCAGTTGACCAACGTTCCGCGTCTGTATCACAGTAAATGAGTTCGCATTACTCGTCTCGATTCAACGTTTCGTTTATTTAATTTTAATTATGCCGTTATATACTCGCGGCAGATTCCTGTATTTTGTTGACCGTTCGGCCGCCTGTCTTCAAGTACGTGTGAACTGCATTTGCGCAACAAAGTTGTGTTGCAGAAACGTAATTATTGTAAATTCCATTTCCTCAATTATCATTTTACTCCCGCTTTTCTGTATTACAGCATCGAAATACTACACGGAGGAACGTAAGATTCTTATCGGGAGTTTGAAATTTACTTATTCTTTGTAATCATTCAATTTTTCTCACCGCTAAAGACACTAATGAGGCATTGACAAAATTTCTATACGCAAAATGTTTAATGAATGAAGAAAAATATAAATTTACTCGAAAAGCATTGTTTTTTCACGAGGGTGTGGATACATTCTATAGTTCTCTTTCGAAGATTAATTCAGAAATCATTTGTTATTGTTTCTTTCATTCATTACGGTTGTACAATAGTGCGAAACACACGATTGTTATTTAGTTTGGCGGTGCAGAAAGGCTCATTCAGTAACTTCCTTCGTGTGTAATACTTACTTGGAACTTCCGCTATCTTTTGTACGTTTGTCCTAGTCACGTTTCAATAGAAAATTCTACCTGTTAACATTAACGAACAATATACCACAATTCGCTGAATTAAGAAGAGATGATTAAATTTACATTTAAAAAAAGAAAAGGAAAAACTGTAATAAACTCATTTGTTACTATTGTACAAGAAGAAGAAGAAGGGAAGAAAAAAACGTGTTAGAGAATAACGTTTAATGAGAATCATTGATTTTCTCCATGTATAAAGAGCCACATTGCAATATCCTTATAATTATCGCAATTCAATATCGTTTCTTTTTTTCTCTCTTTCAGAAACGGAGAGGAGAATTCGCGCCAATAATCGCGAGTTTAACTCACAGTTTAATTATGCGGTAAGATCGTGATACGGTTCTGCAATTCCTAATTTTTTTTTTCTTTTTTCCCTCTCCATTCTGCGACGCAATAATTAATACCACGAAGAAGTGTCTCCGATAACGACGGGACGCGTTTCACTTTTTTATTTCCTTTGCAGAACAACTACATCAAGACGTCCAAGTATTCGGTTCTGACGTTCCTACCATTAAATTTGTTCGAGCAATTTCAGCGGCTCGCTAACTTTTACTTCCTATGCCTGCTGGTGCTTCAGATCATCCCTGCTATCTCCTCCTTGACCCCCATCACTACAGCCATACCCCTTATAGGGGTGCTCATGCTCACTGCCGTCAAAGATGCCTACGACGATTTCGTAAGTTGCGCCGAACCTGTGAAATACGCCCGCTCGCCAAAGAAAATTGCGAGACCTTAAGGAGAAATCGTATAAATGTGAAATTTACGTATGCTGTTTGGGGTTTTGAAAGGGAGACGCGATTAAAGTTTGGTTAAAAATGGTCTTATTTACTTTAATAAAGGTCTTACTTATTAAAGTTATTAATTTACTGAAATTTATTTATTTCGAACTTGAGTATTATTTATTAAAAGAAGTCTAATTTATTTAAAAAAGGTCATTTTTCCTCAGAGTACCCCGAAAAACATAATTTCCAGATTTGTGCAACCCCAATTTCTAGATAATTGCAACTGTTTTGGCGAACGGTGTATTTTGCGTGAAATAACGATTGAAATACGTATACTTTTAAAAAAAGTTTAACGCGTGAAGAATTTTTAATAATTTTTCATTATTTCTTTTTTAGCAACGGCACAGCAGCGATTCGCAAGTGAACAATCGAAAGTCACAAACGTTGCGAGGTACTAGTCTTCGTGAGGAAAAATGGTCACAAGTGCAAGTAGGCGATGTAATTAGAATGGAGAATGATCAATTCGTTGCAGCCGACGTCCTTCTTTTATCTACTAGTGAGCCAAATGGTCTTTGTTATATCGAAACCGCAGAATTAGATGGGTTAGTACACCTTTTTTATCCACTCTTTTGAAGAAAAACAAAAATAATAGAATGACAACGATGTTTATTTTTAGGGAGACGAATTTGAAGTGTAGGCAGTGTTTAGCTGAGACTGCCGAGATGATGGATAACCACGAATTGATCGGTCAATTTGACGGGGAAATTGTTTGTGAAACTCCTAATAATTTGTTAAATAAATTTGATGGTACTCTTACGTGGAAAGCACGGAAGTGAGTGTACCCTTCTCTTTCGCTTCTTCTTTATAATTAAAACGATATTTATTACCTTTAAAAAATGAAAGATACAAAATCATGTAAATTAAAACATTTTTTTCTCTCGTATGCATAATTAACAGATACCCATTGGACAACGACAAAATTATATTACGAGGTTGCGTGCTCAGAAACACGCAGTGGTGCTATGGTGTGGTCATCTTTGCAGGCAAGGATACCAAATTGATGCAAAACTCAGGGAAGACCAAATTTAAGAGGACCTCTATAGATAGGCTGCTGAATCTTCTCATCATCGGGATAGTGTTCTTTTTACTTTCTATGTGTTTGTTCTGTATGATCGGCTGTGGTATTTGGGAGAGCCTTGTCGGCCGTTATTTCCAAGTGTATCTACCTTGGGACTCGTTGGTGCCTAGCGAGCCTATGGGTGGTGCCACAGTGATCGCTCTGCTTGTGTTCTTTTCTTATGCTATCGTATTGAACACAGTGGTGCCAATCAGTTTATATGTGAGTGTCGAAGTTATCAGATTCGTTCAATCGTTTTTGATCAACTGGGACGAAGAGATGTACTATGCACCTACGAACACCCATGCTAAAGCAAGGACTACTACATTAAACGAAGAGTTGGGACAGATAGAATATATATTTTCCGATAAAACCGGAACATTGACACAGAATATCATGACTTTTAACAAGTGTTCTGTGGCAGGAAAATGTTATGGGGACGTTATCGATGAAGTTACCGGTGAAGTCGTCGATTTAAGTGAGGTGAGTCTGTTTATCTTTCTATCCGTAACCAGACTCGATGCGGAATGATGGGGTACGTTTCTAATAGATTGTTTGTTATATAACAAAGTCGATCGTCTTTTTTCTAGCTTTTAATGTTTTGTAAATGTACACCAGTTTTACTTCTAAGTTGAACATTTTGTTATCGTTGCAACGAGACGCATTGTGATTACAATATTCTTCACTGCATCGATGTGATTTGATTTTCTTTTTCTCTCCATCATGTACACGTTTTTTACATCGAGAAATACAGATGATTTGTTGATTTAGACAGACAAGTTTGTTTTTTCAAAGAAAAGAGAAAGAAAGAAATGTTTTACTTGAGTTCGAACTTTTTGTGGTATTATACTCTTAAGTCACGAATAATTATGTTCAATAAATTGAAATCATCAAGCATTGAAATTTTCATATATCAGTTTCATTCGTTTCACGCTTTTGTTATCAAGAAAGAATATCTTTGTTTTAAAACTTCAATGCTATAAAATAAAGATATAATCTAACAATACTTTTAAGGATTTAACTGGAAATGAAAATCGCATTTGTTTCATTTCTTTTGTAGGATTAATTGTTCGCAAGTAAATAAATGTGGTTAGTTTAGTCATATTCTTTTCTTGGTAACAAAATAGAAACAATAGTATCATTTCACAGTTGGCCATATTTTGCATAAGTTTTCATGTACATCACTTAGCATGTGTGTGCTGCATGTAGACGGACAAAGCTGCCCGAACACCTACGATGCGATGGAAAAATGGACAAGAATTTGTTCAAGTTTATTATACATCGATAAGTGGTCCAAACGTACGTCTACTGGAACATATGGACAGGATATCCAATATAATTGCAGAGCCAGGCACCAATGGCAGTCCGATGATTCCACATAAACTTTCAGTACGCATGTTAATAATTAATGCACCTCTTCCACAAACGAAGAAAATTCTGCGCGCGTTACTTTGCCTATCTTACTCTGTTATTGTCCTGCTTGTACGTTACTGCTATTGTAAACGTTTAAATATTACACATTATATGGGTACTATCAGCTGTACAAGGTTTAACATTTTGCTTTTTTCAAACATATAATAGTTATCTATACTATTGCTTTCAAACATTCTTCCTACATTGCTCAATACATTTAGACGCATGCTGCATAGTATTTCATATGTTTTTCGAACAAAATAGACTCCAGCACGTTCAAACTGCTTAAACCTTGAACACTAATTTTCACAATGCTTTAAGGAATTATAAAATTATAACATCTCATATGTGCCTGCTGACTTACAACAAATCTATTTATATGGAGGCAAGGTATTTACCTTAATTTCTAGTACTTTCACTTCCACATACTGTCTCTTTGAGCGTCATACTAACACGTTGCATGTTACCAAGGAGTCGTTTCTAACGATTACTTAATATACACTTACAGACAATGCCACCATTGGATTTCTCGTTTAACAAGGATTACGAACCGGAGTTCAAGTTCTACGATTCTGCGTTGCTCGAAGCTGTAAGGCGGAATAACGAAGATGTTCATAGTTTCTTTCGATTGTTGGCACTTTGTCACACGGTTATGCCAGAAGAAAAAAATGGCAAGCTGGAGTATCAAGCGCAGTCACCGGATGAGGCTGCCCTTGTATCTGCCGCTAGAAACTTTGGTTTTGTATTCAAAGAAAGATCTCCGAATAGTATAACGATCGAAGTTATGGGGAAACGCGAAGTATATGAGCTGCTTTGCATTCTGGATTTTAATAATGTTAGAAAAAGAATGTCTGTAATTTTGAGGAAGGACGGGCATCTTCGGCTGTATTGTAAAGGAGCGGACAACGTTATCTACGAACGATTAAAAAAGGGTAGTGACGACATCATGGCGACAACATTGGAACATCTTAATAAATTCGCGGGTGAGGGCTTAAGAACATTGTGCCTTTCGGTCAGAGATCTGGATGAGCAATTTTTCAACGATTGGAAACAACGTCATCAAGAAGCTGCCATGAGTCAAGAGAATAGGGATGATAAGCTAGATGCTATTTACGAAGAGATAGAGAAAGATATGACTTTATTGGGCGCTACTGCCATTGAAGATAAGTTGCAAGATGGTGTACCTCAAACTATTGCTAATTTAAGTCTTGCTGGTATCAAGATCTGGGTATTGACTGGTGACAAACAAGGTAAAAGATATTTGTATTTTAAAAGTGGTATAGGATATAAGTAAGCTATACATGTATATTATAAGTAAATACTACGACTGTAAAGAGATGCTTATGTTAGTTTTCTTTTTAATACAGAAACGGCTATCAATATTGGCTATTCCTGCCAGTTGTTGACAGACGACCTTACGGATGTTTTTATAGTAGATGCCACCACCTATGATGGCGTTGAAAATCAGTTATCGCGGTACTTGGAAACTATCAGAACAACCTCAAATCATCAAAATCGGCCGACTCTCTCCGTTGTCACATTCAGGTGGGACAAGGAAAGGTCAGGCACATGAAAGAGACGGAGTACAATCATTAACCTTTTCCATATATAAATCTGACTAATTAACGCATTTATTTTAAAAGTTGCTCTTTCATATTGAATGTGGCATCATGTTCTGTGTAATGCTTTCTTTGTCTGGTCATGCCTAAGGATTTATAAATATTTCAGATCCAGATTCTCTGCCTTCAACATTACGTTATGATAATGAGATTCAAAGTTTGAAAGTATTACAGCATAGTATTTTGTAAAAATCGTTGATCATGTTCGGTACATTTTTAATAATGTTTCTATTTACAACCACTGATTAATTCAAATATACTTTAGCATGCAATAATCATGATATTGCAAAGGTATTGATAAGTTAAACTGCACCAATACACTATTTTAATTCAGTTTATTATACATAAAATGATATGAATTTCATTGAAATTAAGTCAAGTTAAGTTTTTACAAAGTGTTCAACTATACAGTTGAACATGTATTTGCATGCAAAATTTCAAAATATTTATACATATACAAATATTAAGATTCCGCAGAATACCAATTACATTCATTCTCAATTTTTTGTTTCTTGTTTTTACGAAAGAACATCGAAACCATTTATTTCGTGCTTGTCGATTATTTTATTTATACTGTAGACATTTCAGTAGATTAGGTATTAGCCTTTTTTTCGAATATTACAATTTTTTGTTTTGTACTCTTTCAATATTCTACGATTATTTATTAACATTAATTAGTCGAAACGAATAATGATAATTATCATGTGCTTGATACTCACTCCTTCTCTTTCTGTATGCTTAAAATTAATCTTAGTAATAATAATAATAATAACACATGAAGTATGTTTGCTTATGTCACGTTATTATATCAGTAGTCCATGATACAGTGCACTGTGTGTATTGTTTATAATTAATGCGCATCATTTTTATACCCAATGAAATAAATTAAAGTTCCTTTTTTATTCTGCAAGTAATTAAATATTATATTTTATTACTGGTTACGTTCAATGAAAATTTCGTAACTTCGAAAGAAAAAAGAAACTAAGAGAGTAAAGTATTGTTAATGTAAGTCATACTTCACCTAAAGCAAATCTACTTCATTTAAACATTATATTTTTCAAATGTAGCAGTGATACTGAATACAATCCTAGTAGAGATGAGCAAGACGAACACGAAATGGAACAGGCAACAGGATTCGCGGTAGTTATTAACGGGCATTCCATAGTTCATGCATTACATCCGCAACTTGAGCAACTTTTCCTTGATGTATCAAGCCAATGTAAGTTATCTAGCAATGAAGTTATTCTATTTTTTGCATAAACTGTTTAACACTATATAATATTACAATACTTTTAGGTAAAGCTGTGATATGTTGTCGCGTTACTCCTTTACAAAAAGCAATGGTAGTCGAATTAATAAAGAAAAATAAGAATGCTGTAACTTTGGCAATTGGTGATGGAGCTAACGATGTCTCGATGATAAAAACAGCTCATATAGGTGTTGGCATCAGTGGTCAAGAGGGGTTACAAGCTGTACTAGCATCCGATTATTCGATAGGACAGTTCAGATTTTTGGAAAGACTGCTCCTTGTTCATGGTAGATGGTCATATTATAGAATGAGCAAATTCCTTAGATATTTTTTTTACAAAAACTTTGCGTTTACACTATGCCACATCTGGTTTGCCTTTTTCTGTGGATTCAGCGCACAGGTATGATCTTTATATTGTCGGTACTTTCGTTTATCGGCATCTTTATCCTGTAGTTATAAAAGTGATGAGTTTAAGGCGAATGTGATTCACAAAATTCCTTTGTTGAGCAACTGGTTCCAAAGTTGAGTATTGGGGATATGAATTTACTGATAATTCTGATTTTCCAATGTCTATAACATGACATTCATTTAAGAATAAATATTTCACATATTCTTACAAATGCATATTTCTTTACAGACTGTATTTGATCCTATGTACATTTCTGTCTACAATCTCTTTTATACATCATTACCTGTAATGGCAGTTGGTATATTTGATCAAGATGTTAATGATAAAAATAGTTTAATGTATCCGAAACTTTACGCACCCGGATTACAAAATTTACTTTTTAATAAAAAGGAATTTTGCTGGAGTGCCATACATGGTTTTTTTGCTAGTTGTGTATTATTTTTAGTTCCATATGGTAAGTTTTGATCGTTTATTCACAGCTTTGTCGAATCTCAAAATTAACGTATGATGTAATTAAAATAACGCAAATGTATCTTCAGGAACGTATAAGGATGGAGTGTCACCAAAGGGCTATGTACTTTCTGATCATATGTTACTCGGAAGTGTTGTAGCCACTATATTAGTCATAGTCGTGACTGTCCAAATAGCCCTTGATACATCGTATTGGACGATTGTTAATCATATTATGGTTTGGGGCTCGCTCGTTTGGTATTTTATTTTAGATTATTTCTATAACTTCGTCATAGGTGGTAGTTATGTTGGCAGCCTTACGATGGTACGTCCTTTCATGGTTGTAATATTAAAGTGATAATTTTAATATTAACAGAACGTAACATTAATGCTTGAACGCATAATTTTAGGCAATGTCGGAAGCAACGTTTTGGTTTACGGCGGTTATTTCCTGTATCATATTAGTAATACCTGTTCTGTCGTGGAGATTCTTCTTCATAGACGTTAGGCCAACATTGTCTGACAGAGTTAGGCTTAAGCAGAGGTTGGCACAGCTTCGTTCTCGCCAAAGTCAAGATATACTTCGTACACCATCCACAAGGCGGACACGACGATCTCTTCGTTCGGGATACGCTTTCGCGCATCAAGAAGGTTTTGGCAGACTCATCACATCCGGCAAGATTATGCGGAAATTACCAAATGGTGCAGATTTTAAGTTTGCCATGCCATTTACGAACAATACCAGCAAACAAGTTAGTGTTGCCACTACGTCACCAAAGGACAATGCATCCAAAAATTCGCACACGTTGGATACTATTAATCTATAATCTGGACATTATATTGTAAGTCTTTCCACCATCTATTCAATTTCGGATGAATGGTTTGCTATAAGCTATGTAGCAGCATTAATACGAAAAAGTTATTCAAATTTTTGCAAATGAATTTTTTATTTCAACACGGACCGAATTTTCTAAATACGATATTTAGGATCGTGACGTTTCGTTATATTTGCAATCTGTTCTCGTTACATGTAACACAAACACACACACGGAAAATTTGTGTACCATGCATTGCAATAGCTAAAACTATCTGCTAGCTTATATTCTATTCAACTTTTTGTATCAATGCTTACAAAAATTTAAGTAATCGAATTTCATATGACAATAAAGTATTAATTGTTTGCATAAGAAATTTTACATACTAGTATCTACAAAAGAGTACTATTTCTTTTTTCACCAAAAATTATCGTTAGTTAAAAATCATTTTAATACAATGCATTTTTTATAAGATCAATCATTATTCTAGACTCTTGCAAAAATTTCTATGCTATACGCATAAAACCCATTTTTCGTTCGTTTTCAAATTTATATAAATTATACGAAACTTGCTCAACAGCAGATCTTAATATTAACTCTTCCTAAATAGAAATAAAAACAAATAACGGTTCTTTCATAAACTTGCAATTTTTTTCATGTGTAAAAAATATATATCGAACAAATTATTCTAATCTTTTGCACAAGATTTATGTTACAAAGAGTCTAGAATGAAAAGGATCTCAGATTCAAAGAACTCATCGAACTATTGATAATGACCTCTGACAAATTCTCAAATAGTGCACATTAAAAATAATGCACAGGTTGATTTATAATTATACATTTTTGCTTACTATGTGAAAAAAGAAAAAGAAGTTTAGAGCTATCAAATTGTAAAAACTGCTGTTATCTACTTGCTGCCCATACGGATCGTTCGGCCATTGATTAAAATTAATCAATTTGCTATTATTTTCTAATGCGTTACTGTATATAAAATTGTTAGTTTAACCCTCTAAGTCCGAGTGGGACTCCAGAGTCCCATACCCGAAATCCATGATTTTCACATTTTCATGCATTCCAAACGAGTAGCCTCCTAATCCAATGTATATAGTAGACTATTTTAACCCTCAACAAAATTCTACGACAAGTTTAAAACACCGACCGGACTTAGAGGGTTAATAAAAATTCGTTAGAATGTATGGGACTCTGGAGTCCCACTCGGACTTGGAGGGTTAAGGAGATCTCTGGTAATGGCAAATCGGTGTTATTCAGCACGTTATATTTGGAATATTTTTAAAGATATACTTCCAAATCTGGCGTGCTCGTAAGAAAGTAGAATTCTTACAAAGAATCGAAGTGTTATTCTAAATGAATACTCTTTATTTAATGATTGGCATCAAAATACAACGCAATAATAAGGTAAATTATAATTTGTACTATCATGACACTTCCTGTGTACATAGGTGTAGAGGTGTCAAAATCATATAATGTCCCTACTTGTATTATATACTGTCCTATATAGTATAAACATGGTTGCTGTAAAAACATGTTTATACATGTATACATAAGAATTATAGTTATGATAATAATTGCCTTTATAAAGTATGAACACAAGAAACAATTAAAATTACTGTATCATAATATTGACTGTAAATATTTTAAAGATTATATATGTATATATGTATATGTACGTGTATATATATACATAAATACATATATATAATATATTAAATGTAAATTATACATTTTTTAAAAGAAAGTAATATATAGGTAGATCAATTTAAAAAAATATGAAAATAGTAGCTATATTATATTATACTATTGCGGATAATGTTTGCCTTGGACTGACTACTGAATATATATGATATAATAAAGTAAAAAACAGTAGTAACAATGAAATATGTATTTCTACTTTTAATATTAATATGAATTCTAGGGAGATATAGTCTGTATTGGGAAAGTGTGTTCCACAAAGAATTTTTTTATTTAAACAGAGACATAGGAATTTATTGCTTTCAAACATTGTGCCTAATCAAGAAGCTACACAGAGTGTTTCACATTGCAATGGTATTTTGTTTATTTACGTTTATGCAAGACGGCGTATGATGTATATGTAATTAGGATTCTCTTCTTTACTGAACATGTGTTGATAATATCAAATTGTTTAATTATTGCCTTCGTATAAATTTATTTGTTCATTTCTCTCAAACAGAAACATTTATGTATAAATTTCATTTATATCGTACTATATACCGATCCAAAGTTTAATCGAGAGAAAAAATTCAAATAATGAGACTGCTGCGTTTTTATCTTCTCCTCTTTGAAATAAATATAACGTGCGCAACGCAGAGATGTCAAGAAAGTGGAAGAGTAATAGGTTTTATAATTTCGATGAATTGGTACGTTTTAATGTCAGAAACTCAATACGTAACTCTAACTCTAAATGTAACAAGTATATTTTACCATAATGATATTTCGGTTCCTTTCAAGATGGAGAGTTCTTTTTCAAGTGAGATGTATTCATCAAGAATTTAAGTGTTAATTGAATTTTTTATAATAAAAGCCGGATTTTCAATAATAATACGAATGGACTGAAAAATAATTTTACAAATATTTATAGAACGAAATTGTGAAATCATCTTCAATATTGGAAACAAACTGTACCGTGCTAAACTACTCGTATTAGAGAAATTATGAATATATTCTTCTTTACACCCAAGAAAAGATCATAGTTACCTAGAAAATGCACCGCCTATATTTTTTGTCTAAACTCGTTTATATATACATTTATTTTGTAACACTTCGTGCTAAGTAGTATTTGGAGATGTGATATTATTATTACGGACAGCTATATTGTAATGTATTACTTATTTTAAATCCCCAAATGGATATAATTTCATTTTCATTTGCAAATAACTCCCTTGCCCTAAAATCCGAGTACCATGGTTTTTAAATAATATTAGGTAACATTGTGGGTGATATATTTACATTAAGAAGAGTTTATGTATTATATATACTGTGTATTCAACTGAAGCTTCTACAAAGTGTATGTTATTATCACTTATTTTTAATTATCTAATTTGACGCGCATTGGAAAGTTTATTGGACTAAAAAAATGTACATTAATATTATTTAAAAATCTTGGTATATATCGACTTAATGTAAAAAATAAGAAATTAAGGAAGATAAGGTTTATAAGGTAGTCATAACATGTTGTTGGTTGCATAAGTTGTTATATATGTTACTTTAAATACTGAATCAAATGTCTAGAAACAAAATGCAAGAGCAAATTGTCTGCTGCATGTGCTCTATAGACTGCGCATCAATTACTGCTTAAAAAATATTTGCTTAGGACATAGTATAATTTAAAGAAAAAAACAATTGTACTTATAGTCATGTACAATTGTTGAATCTTCACTACATTTCATGTCCAGTAAATAATCTTTTACTACAATTTTTCAAGTACGTGTTCTTCATGGGATGCTAATACAAGACAATAATATATTTAACAACAACAATTAAAGAATATAAAAATATTACATGTAATCAATAATATCTTTATCCCCTTCGGATGTTTATAAGTTATCAAATGAATTATATCGGTTATGTTTTTATTTGTTTAATATTTAAAGAAATTTTATTCTTTCAGTTGACATTTTGATACTATGTCCTATGTACTATTTCTGATGTATTCTACTTTTATGTATCGAACAATGCATCCTATATAAAATTTAAGCCCTACCGAATTGAAGAAAGTTTTACAAGCACGTTACATGTGTAGGGCCATGCAGAAGGGCATATGAAAAGAAACTAATGTTATCGAATACAATGTTCCTTACAAAATGCACGCAGGATAGAAGACTAGTGTGTATGAAACAAAATCATGTCTATCGCATTATTATATGACATTTAAAGCGGTGGTGACTTTAAATGGAAGAAGTTATCGAGCAAAGCATCGATCAATCGATTAAAATTCATTTTTCTGCAATTTCTAGAGTTATTGCGCTCAAATATGTTCAGTTATATGTTAACGCTTCGTCACAAATAATAAGGAAAAATTTTCATTTGTATCTTCGATGAATGTATTGATACAAAAAACGATTTACTTTTTGCAAATCGTGTTGAACAATGTTTTTCTGGTTTTATACTACACTCTGTGTAATACCAATTTTGTAAATTTAAATATTGCTTTAAGTATATACATCATGTACAGTGAAATTTACTTCTTAAGTGTATTATTTTTTATGTGTAAATAACTTGCATGAAAGGAGAGATTTGTTGTAAAGAACATAGTAAAATACGAGTACCTACATCATTCAAACAATCAAATTTAGTCAAATCTATCGCTGTAGAAGTTGTTTTATTTTTAGTAGAATTATAAAAATACTACTCCTTTTTTCATTTTCTTTCAAAATTATTCCTTGCATTCTTATGTTATTATTTAAATCGAGAACGATAGCGATAATAATTTTTGTGCTTTCTCACTACCTTTTGAGTTTGGCAAATATTGGTACATACTGTTAGAAAGAAATTACACTTTTATTATGCATTACAAAGGGTTTTACATAGTTATTACTTATAGTTCAGTCTGAATAAGAGGGACCACAGTACAATGTGTTAGAATGAATTTATCATTTATATATTCTAAGATGTTTTAGGAGATTACATACGTTTGAAAACAAATTTATTTAATTTTAAGTATTTATACAATCTTTTTGATTTATTTAAATTTAATTGAAAATCTAATACATTGAAGCATGATCACAATATTGGGGTTTTATTTTATTATTTATATATCGTACATCTTAAATGTCTAACGTGTGGTAATCTTCTAACACATCTTACCTCAAAATGGTCACGTTTTATTTACATAGAGCCCCCAGCTTCACACCTCTATGTCCAGATCTAACAAATATGTAAAGGAAATATTAAATGTTGCTTCAGTATTTAAATGCACACGTCGTCTTAATTTATGCTTTTAATGTAATTATGTGTACAATACAACAAATTTTGTTACAGCTTTATGTAATATATTAAAATATGAAATCCATTCTATTCTTACAACATGATTCTAATGTGAAACACTTTTTTATCGATTTCAGAGGTAGCCAACTCATGTTGATATGTGCATTAATATAAGATATGTACAATTTGTATCTTTACAAAATTGTATTATGTTTTTGTTACCCATCAGTATTGAATAGATTTATGAATGTGTGTAATAGATCCATGTATATTGAAATCATGCACGGAGATTAGTTAGAAGCTGATTGAAATAATGCAATCTGTCGTGAGCCGGTACTCGTAAAAAACTATTTGCAAGCCCATCACAGATGAGCTATGCAAAATCACCAAATTTAAAGGAAATTATAAATATGTCCTTTTTATCTACAAAGCGGATGTATTGAAAGACCATTATTTATATTTTATACTTTTTCCGAAAAGAAAATGTTCGCCAGATAGATACAAGAACAAGAGAAAGAAAATCTGGTAATGTTTGTACTTATTGTGGAACGCGAATGATTAATTTTGCTGCAGAAAACGTTGCGAAATGAGATTACAATTTTAATAATTTATTATCAACGAGTTACCTGTTTATGCTATCGAAATTTAATATTTCACAAGTTAAAAAATTGATCACGTATCAAACATTTCTTACTAGTTTTTAAGTTAATAAAAATAATGCAGCATAATGTTGTATTTTTCAAATATGTATTGTTATTTCAACCTACAACATTTCCGTCCTATCTGAATTTTGTACACATATAAGCTATATATTCCGAGGACGCGTAATAATATAAAAAACTAATATGCTTCAATTCAATTCATTATTTTATATCTGATGTTGATTATGTATATAATAATTTTGTAACAAAAATATATCATTTTTAATTCAATATTGTATATAACTGCAGTATTTCATTGTAACAATATTTACTTAATGTTAATCTCACAATTTTAGTTTATTTATATACTATGCATTTACACAAATCAATCTATTTCTTCTTGTCTTTTAGACTTGTATATTATATTGGTAATTCTTTCTAAAAGCGATAAGAAAGAACAAAAATAATGAATTACCTTCTATAACAATTTATAATTAATTCTAATTAAAGTTATAGTTAAAATTGCAATCTTTTTGCCAGTGAAGCACCATCCATAGATTCCAACAGTTTCCTTTTTAGACTAGGTTTCTCTTCTGGCTGACGTTTTACAGATGTAGGAAGAGGTAATCTAGGTCCAGGAGTTGGTGCTGGCTTGTTGCTAAAGTATGGCATTTGAAGGGCTTGATCACATGTACATCTTTCTAAAGGATTTACATTTAACAGACTAGCAATTAAATCTAAGAGATCATCGCCAGCAGCTGTAAATATATGTTTCAATGGTGTGCCAGGAAAAGGTTTAAATTGAATAAAATCTGGTAGTTCAGTCATTCCTGGCCATGTCTCTTCAGTGGGTGTACCCAATGTCTGAAAATCGTATATGTATATATAAATAAATTTCTTAAAAAATAATGAACATTTTACAAATTACATAAAATAGAAGACAGTACTTGAAATATTCTGGTAAGCTGATCCAAATCAGATTCCCCAGGTAAAAATGGTACACGTAATAAAAGTTCTGCTAATATACAACCAACTGCCCACATATCAATTCCAGTTCCATACAACCTTGCACCATACAACAGTTCAGGTGCCCTATACCATCTTGTTACTACCTGATGAGTATTTATTCGATTTGGTGAACCAAAAAATTTAGCCAAACCAAAATCACCAATTTTTAATACACCCTCTGCATTAACCAGTAAATTGTTTGGTTTTAAATCTCTGTGGAGTATCCAATTATAATGCAAATAATCTAAACCTTGTAAAGTTTGAATCATGTATGCTTTAATGTTTGCTGCTGATAAAACTATATTATTGTCCTTTATTATCACTTCTAAATCTGTGTCCATAAAATCAAACACTAAAGAGACATTTGACTTATGTCCAAAAACATCTAAAATATGAATATAATAACATAATTATCAATTAGACAATTTTGATCTCTATGATATATGTAAATGACCATATACCTAATAAACCAATCACATTATCATGTTTTAGTTCTTGCAATAATTTAATCTCGCGTAATGCAGTTCTATTTATTCCATCTCTAGCTTCTGCACGACTTCCAACTTTAATCTGAAATTGTCATAATGACATAAATGTTCAAAGAACTGAAATTTTAATATTATGCAAAAGTCCTTAAAAATAACAGACCTTTTTCACAGCAACAATTTTAGAAGTTTCGATATCTTTGGCTTTATAAACAGTAGCAAACTGAAATGAAATTTATAAATATACTGATGGCATTAAACAGGTTTTTTTCGTACAACTAACCTGTCCTTCTCCTAAGAAATCGATTTTCTCATATCTTCGCAGTTTATCCGTCATGTTTTCTAACTATAACAATACTTTTATTTTTTTCAATATTAATTACTTATCCAATAGAATTTTATATAATACAAATATTTTATACAGTTTATAAGATATGCTCCGCTTGAGGTTCAAAACCAAGGTTCGCGTCGTGTCGCTGTAATACGTGACAGTTTGCACGTGCTTTAGCACGTGTTATATATGTATATAAATTTTAATTGAACACATATATTTATGCAATATATATTATGCAATGTATAATTATATTTTTTAAGAAATTATTATTTTTTATCTTTATTTTATTACAATTTACACGTGTAAAATGTTTTGACATCTTTCAACTCAAAAGAGATATTTAATCATTATGAAGTCACATAGCACGTAGGTATAGAAATATTAATCTTATCACTAATGTCATATTTTCGTAAATTTGAATTTTATTTCAAAGTATAAAATAAATAATTTTGATACTGATAACTTACGAACAACGCTAATATTTTATTAAAAGACTAGTGGTATTGCATAGTAATCAAATTTTTGTACCAGCCTATATAATGTGCGATAAAAAACAGCGATAGGGGGAAATGTAATAACCGTCATGCAAAATCGTTCGACTATTACATCGAAGAAAGGAACGATATAACAGTCACGATAATGAGGCAGGGATAGTTGCGCTATCATAATGCTGATTAAACTTTCTAAATTTATCGACATTCATGAAACGTCTTTTTTCCAAGTGTACATATCCGGAGAGTGTGTTCGTTGTACATTACGTTGCCATAACGAATGCTAAATTTCAAGACATAATATGTCATTGCGAAAACATTATCAAATTTTTGTGTAAAGGCTTACATTCAAATTACGAAACTAATACCGTGAAAAAAGCGAACGAAGTAAACATAACAGAATAGGAATTACGCTGGAATTGTGATGAAAATAGATCAAAACACTTGTTCATTCACCGTAACAAAGTGTTTAGTATGTCATAATAAATGTGTAACTTGTATTGATCTCAATGATGGACGCCATTAATGTATTTAATAATTAACTGCGGAGGGATTATGTTGCTCGTTTATTGTAACGGAATAACACGATTCAAAATTCGTTATTACGCAATATAATCTTTATTTATGTATATTCCCATGATTTGTATTTTTTGCAAATATTCATGGAAACCGACATTTCCAGTATTCGCTTTCTCGTTGAAAGAATTTTTCAATTTCCCTCATTTTTCGCAGAACATTAAGAAATCTCTTTCGGATAAATAATCTTAGTAATTATTTTCCCGCAATGAATAAACATTTGCCACTAAACCTCTTTCCTATTTCAGCTTCAGACTGCAAGAAATACGCCACTCATACATACACGGATCTGAAAGATAATCGTTTTTTCTCACGAAGGGATGCAAAAACGTTTCTCAAATCACGTCAGTTGGCTGAAATTACGAAATTGAGAAGTGTCCGTAACGGAGGTCGTTGGTGGGGATAGAGGCGACAGCTCTCTTGAAACTATCTACGTTCGAGCGGCTGTCGTAATTAATTAAACAAATGAACGTAGCTGCTGGGCTTATCGAACATCAAACACGAGAAATCGCGAGTAGGATGAATGGTAGCCCGCCGCTAAGCCGGCTACAGTAGTAATCCAGTGCAACGGCGAGCGGTATCGCGCGGAGAGACATGTCACTGGTCGAAACTCTCGTCCTTCTGGCGGTCGTTCTGGTGTCAGGTAAACGAGGTCACGTGGGTCTTTTAAGAAACGTTCGGCAACCGATTAAAAAGTGAACTGAACTCGTTACATTTGCGAACGGGTAGTTTTAGTGAAACTAGTTCTGGTAAATTAGCTAGAGTGTGTAAATTTCTATAACTTTATTATCGAAGCTCGACAATAAGAAGTTTCAAATGAGTTCATAGTTTTTGAGGTTGATGTGACTGGTGTGCCTGTTTGGGATGTTACACGACGGTTCTTTATTTCGTTTCTCAACAAATTCTGTTTACCCGTGGTTCTAGGGTACGCGTATCCGCAAAACACGCTGCTGAACGATGTGGAAGCCGTCATCAAGTCCGTGTTCAAAGTGGCCCGTGATCCAGCCACATTTAATTTGTACACCAGGTACGTGAGAGTGTTTTCGTTACCGGTAGAGCATGCACCCTTCTTTGTTCATTGATTTAGAGGAAATATCAACTTACAATTACTATTAGGAGAATTGTGTTCTTGAAATCGAATAAAGTATGTTAAACGTGACGATAGTTGTTGATATTAATATGTATTTAAACAATGTAACTCTATAAAACGTTCATTAAAAATCAACTTTATTTGTATTTAAAAAATTCGATTTATCAACTTATTCTTACCGATATTTTTCACGTTAGAGGTCAATTGTGTCGTTACTTTGATCTCGTCACGTTCGTACTGTTTATACGGTTTATTTCTAAATCGAAAAGTAGAGAAGGAAGAAGGGAGAAGTTGAGTCTGAAACGTTCAAGAGAATTCGCTTCTCCTTGGCAACGCGCGCGGTTCGTGCTGCGAATTTTTCGCCCGTGCAGAGGCGAAGCTTTATCGTTCGCTGTTCGTAAACGATGCATCAATTTTTTAACGATACGTACAATCAGCAAGCCGGCAAATTCTATTCTCAGCGCTGACGCTCCAATGACTATCATCGATGCGTGAATATCGCGGACGCGCCTCCTTTCCTTCTTTTTGCACTGCTTTGCTTCTGCTGTCGATCGGCCCGATCGGGGTACAGGGGGGAAAATCGAGGCGCCACTCGACGACGCTTCGAGAATTCGCTATCCCAAACCACGGTATTCTCATGAAAACCAATCGAATTTCTAACAAGAAGAGAAACGACATTTCGTGTCGATGGTCAAATCGATAGAAAAGATATTCTAATACTTTGTTTTTTTTTAAACAATGTTATTTTAGTAAATAATAATACTTTACAGGAAGAAGAAAAATTTTCTTACCAAAATCGAAGCGTGTAAGTTTATGTGTTCCTAAAATGACATTTTAGCTGTTTTGGATACGAGAGGAGTAGTTAAGATGTAGGAATTAATCTTTCATATTTGTATTTATTTTAACTGAAAACATAAATCTCAGAATGCTCAAGGTATAAAAGTAATTAGAAACGTTCTCTTTTCCTCTTTTCACGAAGAGAAAATCCGTTTGGCGAGGAGCAGTTGTTTTTAAACAACACCGAGGTGCTTTACGCGTCCCACTTCAACGAAAGCCGCCCGACAAAGTTTATTATTCATGGATTCAGCGACACCGGAAACGAAGCCTGGGTACGAGGTTTGATAGATGGTACGCAAACACGAGTCTTTCGTTAAAGGGAACCGAAGCAAAGGAGCAAAAAGAGAGTGAAAGCAAAAAAAGAAACGATAAGAAGAAAACGTCGCGTAGAAACTTATGATGCGAAGGGAAAGGGAAAAAACGATTTCCAAGGAATTTCTAGAAATGTCGACGTCGAAACAGTGAAATTTAATTACAATCAGGGTCAATCCGTTTCGGTAAACACGGAATCGACGTCGCCAGGTTCAAGGGTCAGCATGATAGCAAGTTAATTGATCACTTAACAAGTTTTTGCTCTCACGCGCTACACTTCTGACGTAATTGTGAGAAATTTCGATTTAGAATTTTTTTAAATCTTCACAACGGGTGTCAATTTAAAACAAAAAAAGATTTCAAAAATTCGAACCACCGTTATAACCTCTTATTAGTTCGTAACAAACATAGAAGATATATCTAGCCTGAACATTGTAAAACAATGTAATTTCCTTAAATAAACGTTAATGTTTAGTCTCGATACATTTTTACTGCTACATTACTTATATTTATTATACAAGCACGAGTCTCAGTTTCACATTTTTTCTTCTTCGATGCAATTCATTTCTTTAATCTGACTCCGTATCTTTTCATGTTTTGACGTTTCATTGACACGTGATATTATCGAAAATCATGAACGAATCTGTTCTCGCGTTCCACGAGATCTCGCAGACGTTCTAACAGACCAGTTTATTAATAAGCACCGATTGATCATGGAAATTTAAAAATAATCATACGTTTACAATTGCAGCGTATCTGTTTCACGAGGATGTGAATGTGATCGTCGTTGGATGGGGCGTTTTGGCGGCGGACGTTTATCCATTGGCGGCGAACAACACGCGATGGGTGGGCGAGTTTCTCGGCGATTTTCTTGAATTTCTGAATCGTGAATCGAACCTCGAATACAACGACGTTCACATCAGCGGCCATAGTTTGGGCTCGCACGTGGCGGGATTCGCTGGAGCCTACTTAGACGGCCGTATCGGCAGAATAACAGGTGTGTTTCCAATAAAACGTGAAGAACAATTTACTGAATTTATCAAAAATGGATGTTTTTAATAATAATTATGGTGTAATTCGAAGGCTTAGATCCAGCTAGTCCACTGTTCGAGACGATTTCCGGGATTGTCGACCCAGAATTCAGATTAGATCCAACTGATGCGCAGTTCGTGGATGTGATTCATACGAGCGGTCCTGCGTTTGGATTTTTGGCACCGTTAGGTCACGCTGACTTCTATCCCAATAATGGAAAGTTTCCTCAGCCTGGATGCTCGTTTCTACCTACCACGAGTAAACTTTTTTATTTTTTTTTTTTAATTTCATGAAACAACTAATCGTAATAAAAAAATTTAACAACGTTCAACGTGTGTCAGCCTATTGCAGCCACTCGCGAGCTCATCAGTTCATGATAGAGAGCATAGGAAGCACATCAGGGTTCAAGGCAAGAACCTGCGAAAGTTGGGAGAAATATAAAGAAGGACGTTGCGATTACAATCCGGTCGTTCTGATGGGAGAATACGCGTCCACGTCGTAAGATATTTGATTTTTCTGTAAAAATCACTTTTTCTGTTGAAACACGTCGAAATATAATTTCACTTTAATCGCTTCAGGTTGCGGGGAAAGTTTTATCTAGCAACGAACGACGCGCCTCCATTTGCAATAGAATAAAGAAAAATAAGCGATGATGAACAGAAAATTTGGAACGACTCTCTGTGGTGACGATCGTGTATTCGCGACATCAAAATAATCTGTACTAGTCATTTACAAGTTACTTTATTTATGCAGCGTGCGCGGTTTTATTCGAATCCTCTTCTCCTCTTTGTTTCTTCTTCTTCTTTTTTTTTTTGTTTTGTTTTGTCTTTCTTCTTTTTCTGTTTTTGTTTTTGCAAATCGGACGAACGAGATCGAAGCCGGTGACGAAGCGCTGTCGTTTCATATCGTGCATGAAAAGTACAAATTATA